TGTTTAGGCCACAATCCCCATTTATGAAATTTAGGAAAAAATGTGTATAGGCCAAGGATGTTTGATGTCCCACCATACAAGATGTGTTTTTATCAAGGATTATGCATTGCAGAGGTAAGAGCCCACTCCTAGACATTTTTATTTGCATGGTTATTCCACTAGTACCAACAGGACTCCTCAGATTATGAAATGTGCAGAACGAGTCTCCCTCTCCTGTAATGTGGTCTTAGCCAATGAGTTATAAACAAATATTGTCTTCTACCTTATTTTATGCCAATACAGACCCACACTTTACAGTTTACAACCAATAACTAGAGCGTCAGCTCAAGTGTTTCTAAGAGATACCCCTACTTCTCTAACAACAAATTCCAAATACTTTGTGTGTGTGTTTTTCTTTACAAACATCTTCAGAGTAGGCCCACGCTTACAAAAGACCAAGTCCAACCTTAATCTTGTACCTCAAGATCACATTTGTGTGGCCTTCTATCATCCCTGGATTTCAGTGCAGAATTCAATATCTAACATGGGACTAATCACTGAAGTAATTCTGTGCCCTACCATTCAACCCTACCGAGTGTTAATCTCAGGAGCCAACAAGATTTTTTTGGGGCATGTGAACTTCTCATTTCATTAAAGGTCTGCAGCCTGAGCATTTAAGGTGAATGTAGAATTCAAATAAAAGACAAATCTGCTGACCATAATAATTTGCTATTCTTCACATCAGTCACAGCCTCTGAACAGCTGTACCCATTGTCTAAGTACAACAAAAATCAGTGGCACAGGGCAGTAGCAGACTCACTCATCGAGAAGAGCAGCTCGCGTTGTACATATTTTTCCTGGCTTGTTATCATCTGGATCATACCACTCTTTGGCATTAAATCTCTCAGGGGGGATTTCCACTGTGCAGTTTTTGCCTTCCTCCAGCACTTTCCAGAAATTGTCAATTCCATCTCCTGTTGTACAAAGTTTTCAAAATAGATTAAATGATGGGCTCCCCCTCCCCTTGCAGACTCAGAAATTCACAATCAGCTACAAGGAACTCCCACAGGTAAATCTAGGTTGCTTACATAGAATTGCCAGAGAAAGAACAGATCATTCTTTAGTGAGAGGAAATTGAAAAGCATGACTGGTCCCTTCACCGTTTGTCTAAAAGCAAAGGAACCCCACAAAATCCTTAACCACCTTCTCTCTCCATTTCCCTACTGTCTCACTGCACCCACAGTACATACTGCAACAAAGCAGGAAGTTTTCTTTCAGGAAAACCCAACCTATCCATATTACAGGCACAGCTGGTGATACTGTCCAGCCCTCCATCTGTCCTGTCCCTATGGATGCAGAGTCCTGCACCAGTGCACAGGCCCCCAGACAGTGCCCCTGCAGAAACTTCAAATCATCCCAGACCCATCCAGTTGTTTGTAGGAGTTTTGTGTGCAGCTCAATGCCCTGCCCACTGCCAGCACTGCAGATCGATCAGTCTGTCTGTCTATCTGTCAGCAGACTGATTTGAACCAACTAATTTCCACCACAGCACAACCTTTTAAAAAGATCCTACAAGTAGCAAAGCAACACATTCTACTAAGGGAGGAACATGTTGTTTTCCTCCATTTCAACACTAATGAACTACTCTGCTTTTCCATGTTTACTCACTGCCGGCTTTGCTTTTACCCCAAACTTACCTCCAGGAAAGTTGCATCCTATCCCAACAATAGCAACTTCGTCTGCAGTCTCAATCTCCATCTTCTGGGCTGCACAATATAGGTGCAGTGTCAGTCAGATCAAACAATTATGCATTTCCCATTACATAAATCTTAGCTTAAAAGGTGAACTTCTCACAAACACATATACCACTTACACTTGTTCAAAGCTTCATTCATCTTGAATGAGCTATGGTTGGTTGTGATGACAATGACACTCCCCACAGGCAACCAGAGCTGTGCTGTATTTTTCTTGCTGTCCCTCCCCTCAGAGGAAAATCCCCGTTTAATTCCCCAAACTCCCTCATTCACAGACACTTCCTTTTTACTGTTTAACCTCTGCTAGACCTGCCGGTTGATCTGCTCTTGAGCCTTTCCTTAGATTAGTTCTGTGTTTCTTCTTCTCTACAGAAGTGGACAGTGCATTGGCCAAGTCAGACTTTCAGCTCTATTGTCTCTATCCTATTCACAAAGCACATCTCCCACACAGACTCTGCCAATTACCACTTTAAACCAGACCATGGAAACAGGCAACCAACCACCAAGCTGCTGAAGGAACAAAAGGTGCATCTTCCACGCTCTAGAAAAGTGCCTGGAAAGCAGCACTTCATTCCCTGGATCCCAAGGCAGCCTAGCTTTTGTCTAAAGCAGCTTCATCTGCAGGCACAGGTTGACCCCCACAGACCACGCTGAGAGTCACATGATCTCACTGTTCCTGACAATGCACAGTCTCCAGGTAGCCCCACTACAGCCGTACAAGTAACCGGCTTTCAGCTCATTTGCAGCTCCACAGGAAGGATTTTTGTTGCAAAACGACTCACAATAATATATGAATTTTTTCAACCAATTAGATGGAAAAAAAAAAGAGAATTCTTTGGGATCAAATTAAATACCTCAGTGTAGAATTGACAGATGATTATTTTTCCTTAATTCTAGGAAAGGAACTTGTCAGATAAAAATCAGCTCAACTGAACCAATTAGAACTCACTGGGATGTCCACCTCAGAGGATACAAGTCTTCCTGGAGTTGCTTCAACTCACAAAGAGGAGAAGATGCCTTTTGAAAGGTTTTGGGAGGGATTCTTGGCAGTGGGATAGATTCTCATCTCAGTCATACCACAGAACGTCCCAAAGAGCCCTTCTCAGTCACTGACTGACAGCAATGAAGCAAAGATGAGGCTGTTTGACAGCCCCACATATTATTCAGTTATCATTTCTTGGAGGTTTGTTTTGAAAGAATAACTCCTCAGATTCACACTGTGAAAAATTTACTTCCCGGATCCATTAACTAAGACTGAAAAAGATAAAAAGACACCTAGCAAGAATAAGGAGATCAGAATCTGGCTCTCTGGAATTAAATTCTATTTTACCAATAATACAAATTCTGAAATGCTATAACAATTGTTTCCTTTTGGTTCTTTCAAAATTGTCTATGATTTCTATGATTCTATTATTTCTTATTTTAATGTAATTGATAAGCTAAAGCTGCAAAGCCCAA